GATGGTGATGAGGAATAGATCCTCATTGCTTTTATTGTTTGGCTTAGTTTATGTGGAAGAGACAGTTAATGCTTATAAATAATCCATTTGCTCTCCTACCTTTTCTATACTCCTTTGCAGTTAGCTTATGGCCATATGTCTAGTTCTGGCCAATAGAATGTGATAAGGAGCAGCTGTATCACTTTGCCTACAAGGTCATCAACAGCCTTCAGATGATCAATTCTCAGTGCTCATTGGACAAAATTTCTTAGCAGTTTTTTTAACAACCGAGCTCTTGTTCCTTCCTGAAAATCTTAACTTGGCTGCTGGGACACGATTCTCCTTTGGTTCTCCTGCTTTCTCCCTACCTGATCTTTCTTAGTGTCATTTTCTCAATCATCTGCATCTTCCCAGTCCTTAAGCATTGGAACACTTCCAGCCTCAGATCTCAGACTTCTTTTTTCCATATATATCTTTCCAGTTGATCTTATCAGATTCCATGATTTTCATTATTAGCTATGCCTTGGTGAATCCAAAATTTATATTTCCTACTCTAACTTGCAGATTTTACTCCTATCTTGATTTACATACTGTCTTTTATAGCCCACAATTTCCCACTTGAAAGTTTAATAGGAATCTCTAACTCAGCAGATAGAAAACTAAACTCTTGATATTTTCTCCCACAACTTATGCCTCCCACAATCCCATGATTACCCTAGGACAGTAGAAGGGGAACTGCTTTCTATCAGTTATTCAGTCCTCAAAGCTCAGGGTCATCCCTGAGTCTCCTTTGTCTTACATACCATATCCAGTCCTTCAGTAAATCCTGTCAATTTTTTCAAACAGATATCCTGAGTCCCTTTTTACCATGGTCACTGCTCCCAGGCTATTTCAAGCTACTATTATTTCCCATTAAGATTTTGCAATGACCTATACATAGTCTCCCTATAACCACTCTTGCTCCACTGCATACTGATTTCCATACTGTAGCCAAAGATGCCTTTAAAATGTTAAGTCAGGTCACACTCTCCTGTCTCAAAATGCTCCAGGTGGCTTTCCATCTGAAGTATTGAGTCTAGTGCCTTATGTGACCTGACTCTGTATTGCCTCCCTAACTCCATCTCCTGGTACTTAGCCACTTGCCTACTCTGCTCCAGCCACGGCTCCTTCCTTGCTCTTTCCTGACATGATGCAAGGTCCATCTCAGAGCCTTTGCGTGTATAGTTTGTCAGAGACCCTCCTTTCTCAGGTTGCCACATGGCTCCTCCTTCACTTCATTTGGTGCTCTGATTCAGTTTCATTCTTTAGAGAGCTTTTCTCTGACCGCCTATGCTCTTTTCTCTTATCCTGCTTTATTTTTGTACTTCATATCACTTAATAATATACTATAGCTTACATTCATTTGCTTATTATACAGTGCCGTCCCTTGGCAGGCCTAGAACGTAAGATCCACGTGAGCATCTTGATCAGTTCCATTCATACCTTTTACTTCAGAACCCCAAATACCTGGAATATAGTAGATGCTTAATAAATATTTGAAGAAATGGATAAATAAGTGAATATGGATCTCAGTTCTGGATGGTAAATAAAAGTCTCATGTCTGGAAACTCTGTGTTCACCTGAAAGAAACAAGCCACCTACATGTGTCCAGCGGCACCAAGTTGACTAGAGTATGATTCCCAGCATATGAAACAAATTGAGGATGGGCAGCAAAAACGATAGTGAGCCAAGGCTACTAATGTCCGTGGCAATCATCCACAGAGCACCAGCAGATGCGGCAGGAGTTGGGCCAGCGTCGGTGTGCAGTAGGGAGCCCATATTTCTCCTCCCAGAAAGAGGAAACACATCCCCATAAAGCAAATGAGGTGCAAAAAAGGCTGACAAGGAGCTGTAAATTAAATTAGTGGCATTCTCACCCTTGTAAAGAGAAAGGATGGTAGGCTGGAGTTAAATGGGATCATTTAGGTGTGTGTGTGTGTGTTTCTTTGTTTTAATGCCTATGAGACTGATTTCTCTCTTGAATATTTTATTAGAGAATACAAATGCATATAATCATTTTCTTTGCTAAACCTAAATCTGAAACATACAACCTGACCAACATAAATTTACTTATGGGGACACCTGGACAAAATAAAAAAATTGGTGCAGGCTTAAAAAATACAGGATATAGAGATACAGAATATATTCTCTGAAATGACCTTGGGGCTATTAAGCAGATGCCTGGTTACAGAAAGAATAAGCCAATGTGGAAGGAAGACAGGTTGTTGAAAATAAGATGGATGAAGAGTAGAACACCATAAGTGACACACACACCTTCAGGAATAAGTTCTGATGAGGATGAATTGTTTGAATCTTGGAGCATAATGGAGTAAATATTCACTACCTCAAAGAAATCCTTGTAGGAAGATAGGAATAGAAATTGAAGTTTACAAAAAGCATTGGGTTCCTTTCCCTTAGAGCCAACCAACTTTGGATTATGCAGTTTGGGTCATATAAACTGTAATTCATCAAAGGACTAGTTAGAACCGAAGCTGTGTGTACCACCATAAGATATTTATCTGCCAAACTCAACTTATTGATGGTCCACATCACATTTCACCTCACCACTGTCACAGAGACATGGTTTGGGTGGCTGAGGCTCTGTGCGTGAGGCTGTGATTTTTCAATTCTGAAGCTTCTCTCTCTCTCTCTCTGACTTAAAATGAAAAATGAAATAAATAATATTATAGGATTTTCAAAATTTAAGACTTTAAAAGTCCAAATCCTTCACTTAATATATGAAAACTGGAACAGAGAGACCAATAAAACCCAAAGTTGGTGGAAAAGCTGGGATGACAGCCCAGACTTCTTAGCCCTGTGGAATATTCCTTTCATTTCACTAGCTCTCAGTCTTGATACCTGTGTTGTTATGGTCATTTTACAAACAAAACCAAACAAACCCCCCCCTTGCTCCATCAAGGATAAAATAAGTATATATTTACAGGTCTATTGTTGTTATGTTTTCAGAATACAGCAGTAAACATCCTTTCAGAATATTTTAAGGACTTGAATTGCAAGAATACTGAAAAGTGACTATTTACCAGGCTTCCTAGAATCTATACCTACACTGTCCAGACTTAATTTATTATTTTAAAGATCACTGAGAGAGACAAAAGTGTGTTGCAGGGTCTGGACATTTTCCTCACTGTGCCTCTCAGTGTTCCCAATATTTATTTAAAGAATGAAGATATCACTCTGATGTTGTAGAGCTATCTTACAAATCTTACAATTTTGCATCACTACAGACAGTTTTTCTCCTTGTTTGTATGGAATATATAATTCCATATATTATACAATTTTCCTGATAAATTTTTCCATCAGATAATTAGAATGTCACCTGTTTTAGAAAAATTCCTACTAGGCTTTACACTTGCAGGTGTTTACTTTGTCAATCTTGACTGGGCCATGTTTCATCTGTGAATCATGCTGTACGATTCTTACGAATCCTATATTATTATATCAAGTCAAGAGACTGAGCCCAAAAAACAAAACAAGTGTAAATGGTTCAAGTCTAGACTCATCCTTGACACTGGCCAAAAAGTTCACATAATTCTCTGGGAAAAAGAAGAACGCTTTTTATAAATGAGATGGATATGCATATAATGATGATATGCAAAATTAAGGAAAACTCAGTTTCTTGAAGCCAAAGGCAATTTTCTGTCCATCACTGAATTCATTTCACTTAACACACTAGGTTAACTACAAAGACTGTATAATACTTAGAAAGCATTTACTATATACTTCTAGTTTCAGGGATATTTTATTACACTTAAAAAAACAATTCTTTGAAGATGATACGATTATTATCCTCATTTTATACAAGATGAAACTGAGGCTTACCAAGATGAGATAACTGAACAGGGCCACAATGAAGCTGGGTTTCCAGATAAAGAAGTTTGACTCCAGCACCTGCAGTATAAATCCACTTTGCAGTGTTGTTCTAAAAAAGGTTTGTTAAGGTGAAAACAAAAATTACTGGGTCACCTAGGAAACTTTCTGACCACATGCCTGTGTCTTTTTAATTTAATAATGAAACTGGAATTTGGAGCTGATTTTTACCAGGTGAGTGAAAAGCAATTATTTTGTAGCTGAAGACTCTCCTGTTCATGTCAGTTCACCACCTACAGGCCATTTTTACAATTCACCTTCCAAGTCACTGCATGCAGAGAATTCTATCACATCTGCCAGAACTCTCGCAATACCACCGATGTCACCATTATCATCTCTTCTGGTAAGTTCCAATGGTCTTGCTGCTCAGCCATCACTTACTTTTCTTCCCAGACTTGATCTTCTCTTTTGCAAGAATGCATGCATGCACATGCACACATACTCATTCCATTTCCAAGACCATTTATGTATGTCTGGGACAAACTTAGAAGAAGAGTCATCTTAATTGAGAATGCTCATTACTTATTTTCCCAAGAGATGAAAAAAATTAGAGGATACATCTTAAAGTGGCAGCAGGAAGACTTTAGCTTATATGGAGATGGGAAAATGTAATATATTTTCTGTTAAATCTTGGAAATTTTAATGAAGGAATTCTTGACTAGAACATATCAGTGGGTCTCAGAATTTTCACCTCTTGATATTTGATCTTCACCACCATCAACTTGAGAATGGCAATGAATATGAACTACAAAATTTTGTTTTGAAGTAGGTTTTGGATCTCTTTAACTCTATACCCCATAATCCCAGACCCATGATTTTCAAAGAAGCTCAATAGGAACCCCAGTACTGTGTAATTTAAAAAAAGCATTTCACAGCATTAAATTCCCTGACATAAATGGGAAGACGACTTGGTCTGCCTATAATGTCCTGAATAGCCCAATAAAGTGAAACAGACATCACCCCAGGTAAATTTCACATAATCACACAGATGCACCAATGCAAAATTAAGACAGATTTCTGCCTGAGAATTCAAGAAATGTACTACCTTGCCCCAAACTGGCAAGAATCCGATTCCCCCAAGGATGGATAGTTACCCATGGCGAAGAATGGGATTCCCAGCAGGGTGGAGTTGTACTTCCCATCCGTGATGAAGAAGATCCCTGCGGCGGTGACGATGGAGATGCACACCGTGAGCACCCCCAGGAGGCCCAGGAAGGGCTTGCTGCGCAGACAGTCCTTCATGGAGCTGGAGAGGGTGGCTGTGGTCAGGATCAGCACAAGGCTCACCAGGACCTTGCTCCTGGCCAGGATGCTGGTCTTATGAAAGTCCCTCCAGAGGCTAAAGGAGGCTAAAGAGTGGAGCTGGAGGCCGTGGTGCTCCTGCTGGAGCTTCCTCATCAGCTTACAGAACTCGTTTTCCCACTTCTCCCCTATGAGGTCTTGGGTGGCAGAGCCATAGGTCTGGAGGTAGTAGGTGAGTTGGACGGCTCTGGCTGACTTGATCCGCTGGTCCTTGCTGTTGGGTACTTCCACTACCCCGCCCAGCTGGTGTCCAATAAAACTGTTCCTACCATCCTTGAAAACAAAAAAGGGGAGACTTCAGTCACCAGAGGGAGGCACACTGCAGGGAACAGATCTGCTCTCTAAGTGAAGGAACGCAAAGAAGGCGAAGGTAGGCTCTAGCAATTGTGGAACCGATGTGGATGGAGCGGCATGTTAGGATTTTATAGTCAACCTTTTGGCTACGTGGGTTACATGCAAGGTGATCAGGACCAGAAAAATGCAAAGAGGATTATGAAGCTATACCAGACTCGCCACATGCATAGGAAAATGTATATAAATATTATTTTGATCTCATCCATACTCTCATTCCCATCATTTCCTTCTGTCACAATCCATTTAATTTCTTTGTGCAGGATCAGGTTTTATGATTTAGTTTTAGCCAAAAATGAAGCATGGCATGAGTTAATAACATTTCAAAAATTAAAATAATAATTCATTAAATAAATATATGCTAAGCTTTCTAGGGTTTGCACACATACTCACACCAACACACACAAACATGGCAACGTCCATACTCATTCTCTATATTCTGTGAGCACAGCTGTGTATTGCAGAACAAGAAAATGTCATTTTCTACAATTAATTTAATAGTGTTGGAATGTTTTCTAAGTATGATGTGAGCACCTACTCACTCATTACAACGTTCCTCCCAAACACCTGTCTCAGTGGACAAATGCCTCCCCAAATGAGACTGATAATGTTTCAGGTGGATGTCAAAAGTCATCTCAATTTCAGAATTTCACATGAAATGGAGTGGAGAAGATCATGAGATTATAAGAGTGAAACATTTATAAGAGAAGCAACTTGAGAAGCAATTTAAGGCACACGTATGTGAACACCAAGTTGGTTAAACAGATTCTGAGCAGTAATTTCCTACCAATGTGCCTTAACACTGAGAAAGAAATCCCCATCAGCCATCACCAAACTTTAATCAATTTGGTTGTTTTATTTTTGCCACACTGTCATTTACTTCAATGGTGATGGCCATCAGATGGAATACTGAACCCAATAGCAGGTTGCAAGATACAGTATAATACTGAAAATAGGCTGCAGGCACTGGATGAGATGTAGGCACAAAGGTAAATTTATGCCATAAATAGACTGTTGTTTGCTAGCTGAGGCAAGACATTTATCTCATGAGAATATAAAAGGCTACAGTCAGAGCAGGAAGTAGTTCTTTCAAGAAGGGTAGTGTGGAAGGGCAAACTAACCCAACAGTGTGACAGTTGTGATTGTTTTCACAGATCTGTGAAGCATTGTATACTCAGACACTCGTGTCACAATGATTGTGGACTGACTTACTCCAGACACCTATATATCCCAGGTACTTGTTTGCATCTGTATTATTAACATGCACCACAGCCACCCTGATAATTGAGTGTGTGTTGCACACTCAAAAAGTCTGAGAAATTCACAAGTACAAATGCAGTTAGGTTCATCAAGAATTGAGAGAAAGAAATGCCATAGCCATGCTGCCACATAACCCATTTTCCTCCTACATGCTAAATAAAAACAATCTTTATATTTAGCTCACCCTGACTAACTCTAAATAAAATGTATATTTCTAAATAAAAATTTGATTTGAGGGTTTTCTGCCACTTTGCTTAGTGCATCTCCCACTTCTACAGCAGGCTTGTAAATTTCCCATCTTTTTTCCTTATAAAAACCAAATTCCAGCTGTAGGTTCCTAAGGCCCTCTCTTGAAATCTCAGGAGTTCTCTAAGGAAGTGCAAGTGAAAAGGTAGGAAAGATTCCAAGAAGGAGTGGAGATCGGGTCCCGTGCTGAGAGATTGTGGAATATGGTTTCCAGGCCTTGGAACAGGCCATGCTGCTCCTCAATTAGATTTGTTAAGCTTGGTAGAATTTTTAGCTCCACCCTTGTTTCTGTTTCTTGGAAATCCCTTCTGGGATGTTGACTGTGCTGTTGATTATTTGAAAGGAAAAGCACTTTAAAAGCTGTGTTTATTCACTGAAGAATGTGTAGTTCCATCTGTCTTCACTCATTTCTGTCATCAAAAAGATTTCTCAGGCATCCGTAGGGGAACATAAGATTTATGAGCCCCCCAGGCCTTGTTTGGAGATGATAAGGGATCAAAGAGGGTGCTGATAACGTGTCTCCACAAAAGCCAACATTTTAAAGAAGGCGCAATATAGATTTTTAAATAATTGATCTTCACTGGGTTTGGCTAACTGCTTACCCTCCTTTTGAAGTTGTATGATTTCCATTTTTTATAAAAATTACTTCCCAAAAGATATGCTTTCATCCCATTATATTTAAATCAATGTTAATAAATAGAATGAATTTCTCTCTCCTAATCTGCTCTATTCCATGCACCAAAATAAAACAAACAAGGTCATTGGATGTACTTGAATAAAAAGCTCTCCTGAAAGGTCCACATCTTGTGCAAGGCCACTGACCCAATCATCCTACTCAGTATGGTCCTGAAAAATATACTTCTCTACATTATTTATGTGTAATTTAAAAAAAGCATTTCACAGCATTAAATTCCCTGACATAAATGGGAAGACGACTTGGTCTGCCTATAATGTCCTGAATAGCCCAATAAAGTGAAACAGACATCACCCCAGGTAAATTTCACATAATCACACAGATGCACCAATGCAAAATTAAGACAGATTTCTGCCTGAGAATTCAAGAAATGTACTACCTTGCCCCAAACTGGCAAGAATCCGATTCCCCCAAGGATGGATAGTTACCCATGGCGAAGAATGGGATTCCCAGCAGGGTGGAGTTGTACTTCCCATCCGTGATGAAGAAGATCCCTGCGGCGGTGACGATGGAGATGCACACCGTGAGCACCCCCAGGAGGCCCAGGAAGGGCTTGCTGCGCAGACAGTCCTTCATGGAGCTGGAGAGGGTGGCTGTGGTCAGGATCAGCACAAGGCTCACCAGGACCTTGCTCCTGGCCAGGATGCTGGTCTTATGAAAGTCCCTCCAGAGGCTAAAGGAGGCTAAAGAGTGGAGCTGGAGGCCGTGGTGCTCCTGCTGGAGCTTCCTCATCAGCTTACAGAACTCGTTTTCCCACTTCTCCCCTATGAGGTCTTGGGTGGCAGAGCCATAGGTCTGGAGGTAGTAGGTGAGTTGGACGGCTCTGGCTGACTTGATCCGCTGGTCCTTGCTGTTGGGTACTTCCACTACCCCGCCCAGCTGGTGTCCAATAAAACTGTTCCTACCATCCTTGAAAACAAAAAAGGGGAGACTTCAGTCACCAGAGGGAGGCACACTGCAGGGAACAGATCTGCTCTCTAAGTGAAGGAACGCAAAGAAGGCGAAGGTAGGCTCTAGCAATTGTGGAACCGATGTGGATGGAGCGGCATGTTAGGATTTTATAGTCAACCTTTTGGCTACGTGGGTTACATGCAAGGTGATCAGGACCAGAAAAAGGCAAAGAGGATTATGAAGCTATAACAGACTCGCCACATGCATAGGAAAATGTATATAAATATTATTTTGATCTCATCCATACTCTCATTCCCATCATTTCCTTCTGTCACAATCCATTTAATTTCTTTGTGCAGGATCAGGTTTTATGATTTAGTTTTAGCCAAAAATGAAGCATGGCATGAGTTAATAACATTTCAAAAATTAAAATAATAATTCATTAAATAAATATATGCTAAGCTTTCTAGGGTTTGCACACATACTCACACCAACACACACAAACATGGCAACGTCCATACTCATTCTCTATATTCTGTGAGCACAGCTGTGTATTGCAGAACAAGAAAATGTCATTTTCTACAATTAATTTAATAGTGTTGGAATGTTTTCTAAGTATGATGTGAGCACCTACTCACTCATTACAACGTTCCTCCCAAACACCTGTCTCAGTGGACAAATGCCTCCCCAAATGAGACTGATAATGTTTCAGGTGGATGTCAAAAGTCATCTCAATTTCAGAATTTCACATGAAATGGAGTGGAGAAGATCATGAGATTATAAGAGTGAAACATTTATAAGAGAAGCAACTTGAGAAGCAATTTAAGGCACACGTATGTGAACACCAAGTTGGTTAAACAGATTCTGAGCAGTAATTTCCTACCAATGTGCCTTAACACTGAGAAAGAAATCCCCATCAGCCATCACCAAACTTTAATCAATTTGGTTGTTTTATTTTTGCCACACTGTCATTTACTTCAATGGTGATGGCCATCAGATGGAATACTGAACCCAATAGCAGGTTGCAAGATACAGTATAATACTGAAAATAGGCTGCAGGCACTGGATGAGATGTAGGCACAAAGGTAAATTTATGCCATAAATAGACTGTTGTTTGCTAGCTGAGGCAAGACATTTATCTCATGAGAATATAAAAGGCTACAGTGAGAGCAGGAAGTAGTTCTTTCAAGAAGGGTAGTGTGGAAGGGCAAACTAACCCAACAGTGTGACAGTTGTGATTGTTTTCACAGATCTGTGAAGCATTGTATACTCAGACACTCGTGTCACAATGATTGTGGACTGACTTACTCCAGACACCTATATATCCCAGGTACTTGTTTGCATCTGTATTATTAACATGCACCACAGCCACCCTGATAATTGAGTGTGTGTTGCACACTCAAAAAGTCTGAGAAATTCACAAGTACAAATGCAGTTAGGTTCATCAAGAATTGAGAGAAAGAAATGCCATAGCCATGCTGCCACATAACCCGTTTTCCTCCTACATGCTAAATAAAAACAATCTTTATATTTAGCTCACCCTGACTAACTCTAAATAAAATGTATATTTCTAAATAAAAATTTGATTTGAGGGTTTTCTGCCACTTTGCTTAGTGCATCTCCCACTTCTACAGCAGGCTTGTAAATTTCCCATCTTTTTTCCTTATAAAAACCAAATTCCAGCTGTAGGTTCCTAAGGCCCTCTCTTGAAATCTCAGGAGTTCTCTAAGGAAGTGCAAGTGAAAAGGTAGGAAAGATTCCAAGAAGGAGTGGAGATCGGGTCCCGTGCTGAGAGATTGTGGAATATGGTTTCCAGGCCTTAGAACAGGCCATGCTGCTCCTCAATTAGATTTGTTAAGCTTGGTAGAATTTTTAGCTCCACCCTTGTTTCTGTTTCTTGGAAATCCCTTCTGGGATGTTGACTGTGCTGTTGATTATTTGAAAGGAAAAGCACTTTAAAAGCTGTGTTTATTCACTGAAGAATGTGTAGTTCCATCTGTCTTCACTCATTTCTGTCATCAAAAAGATTTCTCAGGCATCCGTAGGGGAACATAAGATTTATGAGCCCCCCAGGCCTTGTTTGGAGATGATAAGGGATCAAAGAGGGTGCTGATAACGTGTCTCCACAAAAGCCAACATTTTAAAGAAGGCGCAATATAGATTTTTAAATAATTGATCTTCACTGGGTTTGGCTAACTGCTTACCCTCCTTTTGAAGTTGTATGATTTCCATTTTTTATAAAAATTACTTCCCAAAAGATATGCTTTCATCCCATTATATTTAAATCAATGTTAATAAATAGAATGAATTTCTCTCTCCTAATCTGCTCTATTCCATGCACCAAAATAAAACAAACAAGGTCATTGGATGTACTTGAATAAAAAGCTCTCCTGAAAGGTCCACATCTTGTGCAAGGCCACTGACCCAATCATCCTACTCAGTATGGTCCTGAAAAATATACTTCTCTACATTATTTGTAAAGGAAAATCCACTATTTTTGTAAGGGGTAGTAGAGGAGTTTGTTAGTTTTCCAAACTAACCAATTCATAAGCATGTCTTTGTAGGAGAAATGGAGAATGAATGTAACATGTACTGTAATTGTCCTCTCGGCAGAATGTCCTGGGACATGTTAAGAAGTCAAGTGAGATTAATGGAGAGAAACAATCAGCAGTCAGCGGGGATGCATCTCACACTGACTGAATAAGAAACTCTTGACTGGGTCATTTCTCCTTCTGGTTTTGGTTTTCTCATCTCTAAAATGAGCAGATATGAATATATGAGTAAATATCTCCATGATTTGAAGAACTTTTTCAGCTTCATTATTCTATGAGAGTACTACCTATGAAGGTACTCTGGAGATCTGAATGTCAGAAATGATATCACAACAGAGCCAGGGATTATTTTTACATCTGAACAAAATCTTTTCAATCACCAGTTAGGACTGTTCTGTTTAGTAGATAGACAAACACAGAGGCTCAAGAGACGGCAAACCTGCTAGTCAAAGCGATGGACCCAGGGTTCCAGCCCAGTTCTTTTGATCCAAATTCAGTACTTTCTGGAATCCAGGAGGGGTGGGGGTGATTTCAGAGAAGCCACTTGGCTCCTGCTCCCCCACTAAATGCTCTTTATGATTAGAACTGATTCATGTGTAGGTCCCCTATTTTCAATATTTTTCAAATGCCTGCCATTGAACACATATGCTGATTTAATTTCCTTCTTTTGCAATAAACTCCTATACAAATTATGGAATTCCTTTAAGAGAAGAAATCCCTTTTATGTCCCAGAGAAGATAAATCTTACAATAAAAACATGACAAGATGGTAGCACATTACTTTCAATGCTCTCCTGTCTTGGTGTTTCACTGAATTGAAGTGACATTGCTCACATGAAATGAACTGAAGTCCCTGACTCATATACTTGTGCTTCTGTTCTCCCTCCATCTGTCCTCCACATTAAAGCCAGAGGATACTGGTGCAGGGCTAAATGAGATCACACCACTTCCGTACTTCAAACCTTCTCTGGCTCCCACTTGCACAAGGACTAAGGTAAGAACCCCTTAGCAGGTATGCATGGCCCTTTGCTGGCCAGTCCTCAGACCTTGTCTCCTACCACTCTTCTGGTCATGGACTCTGTTTCAGCTTTCCTAGCCATTCTTCCTAACTCCTTAAACACACAAAGTTAATTTTTACTTCATAACCTTTGCACCTGCCACCCTCTGCCTGCAATGCTTCCCTCTATTCTTCTATGGCCAGAGCTACTTCCCTATGGAGTTCTTAGCTTCAAAGAGACCATTTGAACACATGATCTAAACTAGACCCCTCCTCCCCAGGATTCACTCCGTCTCAGAGCTCTATTTTATCTTCTTCCTATTAGTCATTTTGATCTGAAGTGATCTTAATCATTTTATTGGTTCCTCCGCTTAGAGTGTGAGCTTGTTGAAAGCTGGAAACTTCCTATCTTGCTCACAGATGAGTTTCCTGTGTCTTGAAAAAAGCCTGGTATATAACAGACACTCTATAATATTTAACTCAGTGAGTTCACCCTCAGGTGTATATAACTGATCATACTTCATTTTTTAGAGGTTACTTTGATAAGAACAGGAAAAGTAAGAGACAGCCTAAAGTGTCAGGACAGTAAGATCTCAGATGCAGAGAGGTGCTTATAGAAATTAGAGTCTGCTTCAGAAAAAAACAAACTTTATCCTGTTTTTCAGTCTGCTTTGTCTAGGGTAACATTTCCCCAAAATACATTTCTTCTATTTCCATTACACAGTAACCACGCACAATATGCTAGTAAACAGCCAGGCACTTAGTATGTACTTGGAAAAAAGGAATTTGTGTGCAGTGTGATCTGAAGGCAAAAACTAGTATAAGAAGTTCAAGGAACTGAAGAAACTGGTGGGATGTGAGGCTAGAGAAGGACATGGGGCCTTTTCAGTAAGGGCCATGAAAGCCTTATGAAGGAGTTGGATTTACTGTCCTGTGATGAGAAACCACTCCTGAGTTACAAGCAGGGGAGTGACATGACTTACTTTTTATAGTGCGCCTTCATTACACTGTGGAAAATGATTTAGGAAGTAGGGGGTGATTTTAAAGAAAACTGCTGGATAGGAAGTCCCTGCAGTATTTCAGCATCTTGATGCAGCGTGAAAAATGTCAGCTAAGGTACTCTCTGGTAGGTAAATTGTTCCAAGGTGAATCAATAGAATTACAGGTCACAATGCTATCTCATGGCCTTGAAGCATCTTATCATATAATCACTTCAGGAGCAACAACGCCAGAAAAAAATAAAAATCTTGGGTTCCTTGGGTCTTATTTTGTTTACAGCTACTATTTTATAGCTCTGAAAATTACTCCCACACAATCTGTACCTTTATAGTGGAAAAGGAACTTAAACTCTCAGAGATAAGATCAAAGAATAAATTCTTGATGAGATAGGCAAGGGAAGAGACATTAATGTAACAAACTATTATGCAGGGAAAAAAATTAGTCAATGATGCTGTGAAATCACAGGGGAAT